ATCATGTATTGCAAGATATCAAAAAATTGACGTGCCTGCGTGTTATAAAGTCTGTTCCAATTCAAAAGTCTTGTGGAGTTGGTCTGTTTTTGTCCTCTGTAATGATGTATGTCCCAAAATACGTCACAGCCCTCCTTTCTGAAAATGCTTGAGTTTAGTTGCAGTTGAGGCTGTTATATTTGATAATATCGGCGGTCCATGAAAAAGGGCTGGTCTTAAAACTATTTTATAAATTAATAATTTGAGTCGAAGAGATATATTTGATGATGTAAATAGAATATTACATGTACTTTATTGATTAACCATTGGATAGTACAACAAATTTTGTGTGGGTGGGAAGGAGTATATATGTTTGTCTGATGACGATAAGGCAACATTCATAAAAAAAAACAGTTCATTTTAAAAATAATACGTAACAACATTCAGAAAAAACCAAGAATCCGGTTCAGAAGTAGAAAGAAATGTGATTATATCACGTAAGGAATGTAAGTTGAAATAACTTGTTTTACGTCCAATTTCGAGATTGGATAACAATAAAACAATTTGGCACAAGCTAGACATGAAATTGAAACAAGTGGTCAATATAGTTGAAAGGTATAATGAAATTTATCGCAGCTGGGCAAGAGACCTCACTACCATAAAATTTATGGAACGGGATTGGAAAATGGCAATCCCATTAGTGTCAGTGGATTTAAACATGAGCCTGTTCTGTAAAGCAAGAAGATCTTTTGAATCGCTACGTTCGCTAAACTACGGCAATAAATATTTACTACTTTTCCTGCATTAAAATGTCTGTAACAGCACAACTTACTTTATGGCTGTGTCCTCAATTCCAATAAAGTTGGGATTGTGTCATTTATAATGTATAAGTCTTAATAGATTAAATGCTGAATCGTAGATAAAAATTACCAGAACGAATTTATTAAGCTAAAGTCACCAATGAATATCACATAAACCATATCTGTTAAAAATATCCCTTTTTTGAATGAAGTGTTAATCAACAAAATGAAGTGATTAATTCTCAAAAATTACAGTAAGCGATAAAATATTCGAGTGATTTTATACTCATCATTGGTTAATTAGACTTATACCGGAGTTATTGTTTACAAGTTGATTACAGGAATTTTGATATTCTGCAAGAAGTGTTTCATCCTACTTATTTATTTATCACTAGGTGAAAACTATTTGTCTTTCAAGTATCCCGAGATCTGCATTCAATATCACTTATTTTAAGCAAATTTACATTAATCAATATTTAAAAAAATATAATTTTTTTGCTTTATTTTATTCAGGCTCCTTATTTATTTTTCAATTAGTTCATACATTTTTTTCTGGCGATATTAATTAGGAACTGTCAAAATCGAATTCCTGACGCAATAACTATCGGCATCTGAAGGTATCCGTGTAAAGTAATGTGGTAGTAACTATGGAGTCTTGCTGATAGTCCTGAAAGTTTTGTGATTGAAAATTCTGTAGTTTACGTATGTGAGTCGTTTTGGCTGTCCCGTATATCTGTGAAGCGTGGGTCCAAACGGGCTTAAATAGGTAAGTATATGTGTTTAACTTTTACTTTGGCGATAATAATATAAAATGTAATATATGCGAATAATAATAAATAACAAATTTAGAGGAATAAATGATTTCATTCGCATCCAATGATTTTTAATTGGGGCGACAAAAATCAAAGATGCACCCTAAAAATACGTTTAGGTTTCAATAATTTCTTATTCATACTTATTAAATATTTTATTTTATTTTTAAAAGGTTATTAAATAATTATTTTATAAATAGTTGTTTCATTTGAACTGTTAGCTCGAGTGGAGACTATAATGAAATAGACTAGCGAGTAATCAACATAAAATCAATCGCAGGACGACCTACACAACTGTTGTCAACAGGGCAGGGGGATTAACCTGTGAATTAAATTCACCACCGATCAATTCTAACGCTCCTGAGCAACTGCTTGCTATTCGCAACTAAGCCAACTATGAGCCTATATATATTTCAATTAACTTATTATTTTTTTTGTATTTTCAACTAATGCTATGTATTGAACATAGCAAATGAGTTTTTAAAATTATTATGAGGTATCTAAAACAAGGTTGAATGAAACCAACTTCTGACATCCGAACCAACGTCAAAGGAAAGGAGCAGGTAGATAAGGACCGACCTATACCTGGATCATGGGGAAGGCTTAAAGTAAAAACTAGTAACGAGCTAAGTAACTGGTTCCTTTTAGGGTGTTACCAGTTATTGTGGAAGAATAGGTTGAAGTTGAGAACCAATGAAAACCATCCTTGCCTCCCCCCCCTAAATATTTGTATATAATAAGCCGAGAAGGAAGAAAATAGGTCTTATGTTGATGTCCAGCCTTCAGGATAGGTCTCCTTATATTTTCTTCCGGCTCGAGGATTGAAGCCTTGGAATCTACCAACCACACCACTCCATATACAATAGATAAGTGTTATTCCCAACAATAAAATTACCTAATGTTATAATTTCATGGGAATAATTCTCAAACAGTCCATCTGAAATCATACCTTCACAGTTAATTATTAAATTATTTGAATCTTCTTATTTAGTTTATTGTAAATATTATTTGTACATGAAGATTTACATTTAATTTATGTATATTCTTTATTAAACATAGAAATAAAATGAGTTTTTTAGTAAAAGTTATTTTAATTCTGCCACCCATATATTTCATGATGATTAAAGGTAATGTTGGTATTCAAATTAGAAAGCATGATAAACACAAACCAGCCTTTGAGAAAGGGAACCCAATTCATTAATTTGGGAACAATCAATATATTATTAATCCAAATTTATTTTACTAATTTTTTATTATTAATTTTTATTAAACATTTCTGGGTAGTTATCATCAGTAATTATCCTGTGGCATCCCGAATAAAATTAAATACCCCAAAATGTAGCACTAAACTAAATTAGTTAATATTAAATTAATTTTCATCTGCGAAAAAAACGACTTTATCAAGAGAAACATTGCTATTTTTTTATTGAAATGATAACTTATTTTCAAATTAATTTTATAAGTGTGGTTGAAAACTCATTGTAACAGAATTTATGAATAGTATTTTTCAATATGAAATGAAGTTGATTTTAGCAATGAAAATATGCTAAACAGATACTTCTATACTAATTAAATTAAATTAACTAGCTTACATACTAGTATTTAATCTTAGATGTATATCAGTATGAAAAAGCAAAATTTCGAAAAGATACAGCAATTAAATGTAAGGATGAGCCTAAAATAATAGTAAACAAAATTACCCAACTGTTTCGCAAATAAAGACATCATCAGGACACAAACGACCTAAATCACCAATATACTGAAAAGGCACCCTCCATCAACCGGTAGATGTGCAAAGAACTCAAATCCGAAATATCTGGTGGGTTGTTCACACAACATTCACTTAAAATCTTAATTCGAACAGACATTAATTTCTGCTCAAATTAGGCTGCTTAATATTTAAAACTAATATCGATTCATATGCTATTAAACTAATGTAAATATATTAACGATTATAACAATAAGTGATCACCCATTAAAACTATTTTAAATATTATTATTTATTGTAAATATAGTGTGAATGTGCTTTTTGAACATTATTATAAATGTCCTTAATTGTGACAGATTGTATTGTTTCTCAATAAAAAAGAAATAAATATATATATTAACAGCATACACACATAGAAACAATAAAATAGTCATTCGTAAATCATTTATTTTTTTTCAAGATTTAAAATAAATGTTGAAAGTTTCTATTTAGCTGGAAAGTTTCTATTTTCTATGTTGTGAAAATTCTGTGTAGATTCCATGTGAAGATTTATTTTCCATTCAATAACACAAAAGTAGATATATTACTTGAATTAATCATTCATGTTTGTCACCCTGCATTAATTTAAACTTTATAAATTAGCAGTCATTTTTTCTAAAACCTTCAGCCATCCAACGATATATTATACATATGTGTTACTACTTTTATATCCGAAAAAAATTACTACTTAAAAATCCATTTCATATTTTTTTCTATTCTATTTAATTATCAAATTCAATATTAAGACGAGTATGTCCGGTTAAAATTCAAATTTGAAAATTTTAAAGACCGTAATGATAGGTATATATTTCATACATAGATAAGTGAAAGTAAAAATACAATACAAACTAGAGACGATATTTCATTCCATGGCATCCAAATAAATACTATATGTATATGTAAGTTTTTTGTACTTTCAAATAGTTATTAAATCAATCTCTGATCAGAAAAAAACGTAAAGAGGAATGTAACTCAAAGTGGGAAATGAAAAATTTTATATTATATATCATTTTTTTTTTTTTATGATAACTAGAAAGAACGAAATTGAAGAAGTTCTTGTCCCTGAACTTAAAACTTAGAATCTATAAAACCATTATAAAACCATTAAAACCGCGTCTTACCGGATGAACAGCGTCTTAAAGTTTTTGAAAATAAGGCATTGCGTACAATTTTCGGACCGAAGAAGGACGAGTTAATCGGAGAGTTCAGACGGTTACACAACGCCGATTTGCGTGAACTTTATCCGTGGAATATAATTGAGGCAATTTCATCGTGCCGAATCAAATGGGCTTGTAAAATTGTTGGGCTTAATAACGAGAGAATTCCTAAAAGGTTAATATTTGCTGTACCAAATGGTAAACGTCCGAGGGGTAGACCAAAGCGAAGGCGGGAAGATTGCATTAAAGCCGATCTGAAGGGACTGGGTTTGGACGGTGAACGGTGGAGGGAGGTTTGTAATAAGCGATTAGTGGTGTCGGCATCGAATCTTCGGGTCCGCTAAGCCTTTTATTATTATTATTATTATATAATTTTTTTTAAATCTTAGCATGTTTTGAATATTGCAATTGTTCGATTATATATATTGTTCCTCTAATATTCCTGTTCTTTCATGCAGGTACAAGCCGGCCCCCGGATATTATAGCCTGTGTGATCACGCTGCTGATGATGCTGGTGATCGCGGCGGGAGTGAAGAAGTCGCTGCTGTTCAACAACATCCTCAACATGCTCAACCTGGCCGCCTGGGTCTTCCTCATGGCCGCCGGCCTCTTCTACGTCGACACCAACACCTGGTCCAACCACAAGGGCTTCTTGCCCTACGGCTGGAGTGGGGTACGCTACTTAATTTCTACCTGCGTTACTGTTATCACGCCATTAAGGCGAAGCTAGAAGGTTAATGTGTTAAGTTTGACCTTATTGTGTAACGATTTTTTGAGCGAATAGCTCAACTGATTTTCAATTCGAATAACTCAAATAATTCAGTAAGATCTTGACAGTATTTTGAAACAATTCAAATTTATTTTATTAAATTAATTTTATGAACAGTAATTTACTTGCAATTATTTAATAACAAAAACACGGCGCACGCCTCTCAAGATATAACCTTTAAATGTGCCCGCTACTGAAAAAAGGTTGGGAACCCCTGCCGTAGACTTTTTTTTTTTTTTTTTTTTTTTAATAATCATCTTATCCATTATTTAATTAACTAAATCATAATAAAATAACATTATTTGAATATACCAAATATGTAATGGATTTAAAAAGCTAAGAAGATTATATTTATCCTTCGGATATAGCTTCGACCCAACCATAGAATACTCCAGTGTATCCAAAACCCTACAATTAGTGTTCATTTTGTGGAGGAGAAGTTGGATATACTCCGGAATAAATTATGTGGTTTTAGATTATAAATGGAAAAGTTCAACAAAACATTCTTGTTTTTAATGCTGATAAAGAACAAAAAATGTCAACATTTCACCAATCCAGGCAATATCTGAACAGAAAAAGCAAAAACAAGTTTAGATCTCACGAAGTTATTTGATCTATTTTTTTTTCTGTCCTGATGATACCTGAATAGACAAACGTTGACGGATTACTTTGCTCTTTACTTGCATTTTAGAAAAACATGGCTATGTAGTTAGATTTTTCCAATTATAACGTAGCATTTAGTTTCCGCCTCTTGGTGAATTCTAACTCGGATATATTAATATGTATAATGTTTCATGGGACTTGAGGAAACGACTGATTATATAACCATATAATTGTTAAACCTATGATGATAGGTGTTCACTGGAGCAGCTACCTGCTTCTACGCCTTCATCGGTTTCGACATCATCGCTACGACCGGGGAAGAGGCCACTGACCCGACCAAGTCCATCCCCCTCGCCATCATCGCCAGCCTCATGATCATCCTCTCCGCCTACGTTTCCTCATCAATGATGCTCACCCTTATCAGTAAGTGACTCACTCATCAATAATGCTTCAGTATTTTAACTACTGTTTATTATTCCGATGAATAAGAAATCCGATGAAGAACAAGTGTATGTGAATTATTGGTGGGTTGTTTAGTAGCAATCTGTTTAATTTAAACAGTTTCTTTCATTAAGCTGATACATTAAACTGTTTCAACTGAGAATAAGCAGATACAAGAAATACTTTAAATTATGAAGGGGCAGGTTCTTACTTATCAGTTCTTATCAGCGCTGAACTCATCGATGGTAGCGAATAGAACTTTAAACTAAGCAAAACGATGCGATCGATGAGTTTAGGAATTTACCCAAGCTATCTCACAGTATAGGTTTAGTAGTTGTAAATAGCGATACTGATGGAAAAAGGGGGAAAGCTGAATCTATTTAATTAAACAGCTTTCCGAAACAGATACAGAAGGTGTTTCATTAAATAGCTTCTTGCAACTGGTAGTAAACAATTTTCTGAAACAGATACAGAAAGCTGTCTAATTTAAACAGCTTCCTGCAACTGATACAGCCCTTTGAAACAGAAACAGCTGGACTGTACATTAAACTGCTTTGATAGTTGTTTCAATAAAACAGAGGCCATCGCACTGTTGAAACGTATACGGAGAGAGCTATGCAGTTTCCGTTAAATGAACAGTGTTATCAACTCATTTCTCTATCTAACTAGTATTTTCTTGTTATTTTCATTAATAAATTTACTTACATTTGAAATATGTTATGATATGGTATTAATTTAACAATTAAATCGATAATTACTTTGGATATAAAAATTATATTCATATATTTTAAAACAGTGTAAATTTAACAGAAGAAAATAATTTTTGTTATTTTTACTCGTCAAGTACTGAAACACTTATATCTGTTTTTTTTTCAAACTATTTTTTTTAAAGTAGCAGAAACTTTTGCAACTGCTACTTATAATAAACAGTTTTGTCACTAATGCTGCAGTGAGAAAAGAGTTAATTTACACCATATTTACAGAAAATATAAATTTATAATATAAGATCAAAGCAAAACAACAAATAAGTATTAATAAAACAGTACATTCAAGATAAATAAACTGGCAAAATAGGATTTTTTTTTAAAGTATCAAAGCCATAAAAAGGAAGAAAATAAAACTATCTGAAAAATAAGTAAAGTAAAATAACGCGTACATACCTTTATACACTATTTATAATCATCCATGGGATTTCCGAAACAGGCTTGTTCCTCCAGGTGTGGTGGGAAAAATAGGACTCCATGAGATCTCTGAACCCATCACTGGTACTAAAAGCCATTGGAGATTGAGCTAGAACGCTATTATACAGTCACATATACATTATGTCTTGAGTGGAGAATCTGGCTATTGCCAAACCTCCAATATATACAAAATATGAAAGTCGCGGTGATACTGCCGTTTTATTCTTCGAGGGGAATTGAAGAGATGGGCTTAGCCGGATAGGGATTGTGCAAGGGTATTTGGGAGATATTTAAGATCTTGGTAAAATTTAAAGAATTTTTTTTAGATTAGGTCTAGATACGGATAGGATGAATAATTATTGATTAATGTTATGGTGTTGGTTTTTGTTGATTACGTTGAATGGGGTTTGTTTTTAGACCGGAAAGATCGGATACGTTTGATATAAAAAAATGGCCTTCCACAGTTCTTAGAGTACAATAACCAAGTTATAAACTTGTAACAAAGCCAGAATAAAATAGAAAAGGCTTAGTCTTGTTGCGTATGTATTATTTTTTTATTGCTGTACGTATTCCGGGCAGTTTACATGCTGTTTGCTTTACTAGACATAATAATAAAACTAGATATCTCCTATTTTTTTTTCCGACTATAACAAACGTTGATTATTGAAAATAATAACTCAAATCAGGAATACAAATAATAAGGCGTATCTTTACTAATAATGGTCATAATTCGATTTGTTTTGTAGGAAATTTAATCCTTTTTTAATTTGATTATGTATCGAATCAGCCGTAATGTGCATTATTTTTTTTTTTTTTTGTCATGCGCAAATAAAGTTTTGATTTCTTCAAAATTTTGTCGATTTTTTTAGGCTAAATGCACTTATTTTTTAACATTAGCGAGGATGATTATCTTCAAAATTATGCCTAGATTATTGGTTTTAATGAATTATTAAAAAAAGATATGACGTAATGAAAAAAAAACTTTTGAGAAATGACACTAAAAACAGATTAAAATAATCAATGCAATATGGATTCCATGGATACGTATATTTGAAATATTTAGAGCTTATAAAATGTTAACTATTGAAACTGAAGAGAAGGAGGAAAAACAACATTTAATATAATATAAGTATCCTTCATTACGCTACTTAAAATCATTATTTTTTTAAAACTATTTTAACTTATTTATTGAAAAATATTACAATCTGTCTCAAGGTATAATAGTATTCAGAGATCACATTCACACTCTATGTACAATAAATAAAATAAATTATATAGAAAAATAATATATATACAATTAATAAGAATAAATTAACCTAAAAATAAATAAATAAAAAAAACACATATATACCTATATACAATAAAATATTATATATTATAAAATAGTATTAAGTACACTGATATTTTATTATCATTAATATTTTTTTTAATAAAAAAATAATTTAAGCGGTAGGAGCAAAAAGGACATTTGAACTCATGAGCCACTTTTTCGAAAAAAAAAATCGTTTTTAGATTCTGAGCTATTCAAAGTTAAAATTTCCCACAAAGGGAGCACTTTAGCTAATGTACCTATATAACGGATAATCCAAACCATATTATTCAAAATGGATAAAAATGTTCTCTATTAATGTTCCCGGAAATGGCTCGATTTATTCATAATTTATTATAATTTATTCACCTCCCGCTTCATTTATTTTTATTTTATTTTAAATGATCAAAAATAATAAAAAAATCAGATTATGCAATATTGATTTAAAGTTATATCAAAGAAACGAATTCATTGGAACGCCGTAATAAGATAAGCGGAAATGAATAGCTTTCTAAGGGAAACTTACTGGCTTTATACAGGCTTCTTTCCTGTTTAGGCTATATATATATATTTATTTTATTTTTTTGTTTTATTGTATTTTTTAATAATCTTATTTTTATTTTGGTTTCAGATATTTATGTTATTAAACATTGAATCCGGTTGCAATTTTTTTATGTGTATTTCTTTAAAATAGAGAAGAACATACGAATTTAATTAATATGGAGTATTCTAATATACAAATGACTATAAATATATAATAAATAAATTTTAGACCTTATTATCTCAAATTTATTTTGAACAATGTTTTGTTTCTATATCTCGAAGACTTGTGTCTTTTTAAAATTTTCCAAAAAAGATTTTTTTATATATTCTGGTATTCGAAAATATAATTTTTGAACTATGATATAATAATAAATAATAATAATAAGGCTTAGCGAACCCGAAGGTTCGATGCCGACACCACCAATCGCTTGTTACACACCTCCCTCCACCGTTCGCCGTCCAAACCCAGTCCCTTCAGATCGGCCTTAATGCAATCTTCCCACCTTCGCTTCGGTCTACCCCTCGGACGCTTACCATTCGGCACAGCAAATATTAACCTTTTAGGAACTCTCTCGTTACTAAGCCCAACAACTTTACAAGCCCATTTGATTCGCCGCGATGAAATTACCTCAATTATATTACCCGGATACAGCTCACGCAATTCAGCGTTGTGTAACCGTCTGAACTCTCCGGTTAACTCATCCTTCTTCGGTCCGAATATTCTACGCAATACTTTATTTTCAAAAACCTTAAGACGCTGCTCATCCCTTAATGTAAGCGGCCAAGTTTCGCATCCATAAAGAACTGTAGGCAAGATAATCGTCTTATAGATTCTAATTTTTAAGGCCCGGGACAAGAGGCGCGAACTAAGTAGTTTTGTCACAGAAAAATAACAAGCATTTCCCGCCTTCAGTCTAACCTTAATCTCTTCTTCAATTTCGTTTTTTCTAGTTATCGTAGAACCTAGATACCTAAATTTATCTACCTGTTCAAACATATTACCATGTATATCGATATCACCAGTAGTATCGCCATTTTTGCAGCTAACCATATATTTTGTTTTATCCACGTTTATTTCGAGTCCTAGTTCTTTACCGGCTTTCATTAACGTTGTCGTATTTAGTTTTATAGTTTCAACGTCTTCGCTTAACAGTACCAGATCATCAGCATAGCCCAGCACGGATGTTGTCCCGCCCAGATCCAACCCTTTCTCGGTTCGCATTACCTCCCTAATGGCATGTTCTAATGCCAAATTGAACAGGACAGGCGAAAGAGAATCCCCCTGTTTTAAGCCCGAACGAACCTCAAATTTTTCGGACAAATTATTACCGATTCTAACTTTATTGAGTGTCTCCGTCAAGCACATCCTGACTAGATTTACTAGTTTTTTTGGAATCCCCTGCTCGATTAGAACATTATACAGTTTCTGGCGGTCAATAGAATCGTAAGCCTTTTTAAAATCTATATACAGCTGGTGAACAATACCGTTATACTCCAATTTTTTCTCTAATATTTGCCGTAAAGAAAATATTTGATCAATCGTCGAACGATTCCGTCTAAATCCGCATTGGTAGTCTCCGATAATTTCCTCGGCGTATTCCGTGATTCGACTGGTCAAGATTAAAGTGAATATTTTATAACATACCGGAAGGAGTGAAATTCCTCGATAGTTATTACAATCCGTCCTCGGACCCTTTTTGTGAATCGGAATAAGAATAGATTCTTTCCATTCTTCAGGTAATTTCTCGTTCACCCAGATCTTTTTAACCAACCGATGTATTTTAGAAACTCCAGCTTCCCCGCATGCCTTAATGAGTTCAGTAGGAATATTATCGATTCCCGCTGCTTTATATGATTTTAATTTTCCGATAGCTACTTCAACTTCCTCTTTACTTGGTCCTTCTATTAACGGTTCAGCACTCTGGTACTCAGAAGGAGGACACAGATCA